ACCTTTTTACACATATTGTGAAAGGGAGACCCAAGAACATTCATATCATGGCTGATAATGTCTAAGGAGAATTACTGAGGCCTAGCACCCAGAGTGTGATCTGGCCTCAAATCTGCCTTTCCTATCCTTTGCAGAACACAGAAGCCATTTCTTTTTGGGAAGAAATTCTCAACATTGCATTCTGAGATTTCACAGGAATGGATTTTTTAAGGAATCATTCGGAGAAGAGATATCCTGCTCTGGAATAATCCCATTCCGGCTGATTCTGAAATTACAAGAAATAAAAAGCAGAATAGAGGGCAGTTTCTCTGAAATTTTCCCGCAGTCTCTACTGACTGCTCATTTATACACCTTCTTTATGACAGTATTTGGCTAGAGTACAAACACACCAAGGGCCTGACAGATGCCCACAAATTCCCACAGCATCCCTGAAAATGGAATCCCTGGCAGGTCATTTTCTCCCCACCTACTGTAAAAGTGACCACAGAAGTAGAGCATAATCAAACTGCCTCACAGCACAAAAGAGCCTCACTCTCATTTTCTCTTCATCCCATTCTCCTCAGCACGGGGAAAGCACTCATTCCTTTATATGGAATGGCTTTATAACACCACAGGAGATAGAAACCAAATCTGCACAATGCAAGATCTTCATTGTCTTCCTCACAGAACTTTCTCCCCATAAGATCCAATGGGATAAATTAGAAACCAAGAGAAAGAGAAGAGGGCTGATGCCAAGTCCCGGCTTCTCTGAGTGGTCATTTCAGATGCCCTGGAGCAGGAAGAGAAGCATTTCTGGGATAGGTTCAGCAGTTCCTTGCCATCATTAATGCTTTCAGATGTTCTCTGTCGCTACTGTTCCATTTTCACATCCTCTCTCACGGACACCCATGCACACACAATCACTATCTAGTTACCCCTCACCATCTACTGCTCCTCCATGTCTATAAAAAGCACTGCTTTCTTCTGTATCTTTTTTCACTCTGTTGTATTGTCTCACCCTGTCTTCCTGCTTCAACATGTCCCAACTTCTGCACGATTTTGCTTTCTCCATCTTGGATATTTCATGGTGATGTATCAGTTCATCATACTCTCCCTTCAAAACAACTCAAGACTGGCTCATTGGGCTAGTTACAACTGTGCAAAAGGCAGAGTCATCCTAAGCTGTCCTCGAGTTCATGGAGAGCTTCGGCCTCATCAGCTCTGCCTGTGGGATGGTGGGAAATGGCATGGTCTGTAGTACCTTGGCTTCCTCATTGGGAGAAACCATTTCATCCAGAACCTGGCCATCGCTGACTTTGGGTACTTGCATTGCCATCAGAATAGTTCATTACCTGATCCCAAAGGCAGCACCCAAAGAACTTGCCTGGCATCCTCTATGGGCTGCTCTGGTCCATCTCCCTGCTGTTGAACACGCCGGGCTACGTTTCTACAAGAGAGATATTGAGCATGTGTCCATAGAAGGGCAATGAAGCTGGTGAAGGGACAGGAGTACAGACCTTTCGAGTAGTGATTGAGGGAAATTAGATTATTTAGCTTGGAGAAGAGGAGGCTCAGCTATGACCTCACTGTTCTCTACAACTACCCGAAAAGAGGTTGTAGTGAGGTGAGGGTCGATTGCTTCTCCATAATAACTACTGAAAAGAGGACAAGAGGAAATAGCCTCAAGTTGTGCCAGAGGAAGTTCAGGTTAGGTTATTAGGAAAATCTTCTACATGGAAATAGTAGTCAAGGATTGGGACAGTCCAGCCAGAGTAGTGGTGGAGAAACGTGTAGAACAGGCACTTAGCGTCATGGTTTAGCAAGCATGGATTTGAATGTGTTTACAGTTGCACTTGATAATCCTGAAAATCTTTTCCAATCATAATGATCTTGTGATTCTATGATTTTTATGCTGTTTGCCCCTCCAGCAACTGCCACATACTCCTCATCACCACTAGAGTCCCATACTTCCTCTTTTGAACACCCCTCATACTGGTATTCAGCCTCATCCTCTTCCTCAAAGTCAAGTGTGGCTCCCAGCACCTCCAAACAAGGAAGCTCTTCATCATGATTATGTTCACTATCCTCTTCTTCCTCATTTTTAATGTTCCTCTGAGCATCCTGATCCTCTTTGACTTCGGGAGCTATAAATTTGTCTGCTTGACAATTCGTAGGCTTGATTGACCATCCACTCGCTGCAAGCTCTGCGGCCGTCGGGTCGTGTTGCCTGAGGACATAGAGATCACGCAGTTTAGATTAGCAGGCTTAATCTACACGCCACATACCCTGTATATACATATGTAGACACTATGCTGCACCCCAATACATTGCRTACAGTAATATCCTATGCTAAGATAGTAATATGCTAAGATTTGGGACAAGCTCAKCTYGGTGGTGGCCAGTGACAGGGCAAKGAGTAATGGGTATACTTTAAAAACACACCAAGTTTCCTCTCCAYGTGAGGAAGAACTTCTTTACTGAGAGGGTGACAGAGCCCTGGAAGAGGCTGCATGTTCTGMCAGGTTTGCAGCTCAAACCTGCATTTCCCAGGGACATCATGGGTGGAATTTGCCCCCTCAATATCCCTCAGGGCTTTTCACGAAGAAGTCACTCCGCACCAACTCAAATCGGGCAAAAATTAAGCTCATGAAGTGTGGTTGCATCTGAACRTGGAGTAAGTTTTAGGACATTCAGCGATGCTCATGACTTCTAATCTTCTCTGTATAGAGGAAATGACTCATGGAAGGAAACTTCTGAAGATAAACAGAATAGGAAAAAAAAAAACAGTTTTTAACTGACAGAGATTCCTATTTCAATAGATCATTCCTGCTCTGGTAATGAGATGAATATTAGCATCTAGTAATTGGGTGTTTTCTGCTCTACATGGATATGATGCATATTTGGCAATATATTTTCTCACTCTGAAAACTGCTTTAGCATGTTGCTTTAGGATGCGTTTGCCCAAAAGCTGTGATATGCATTAGAGGAGCAATACATACATCACCCATTTTGTGAGAAATTCCTGATTTGAGAAGAAGCGATAATCTCATCAACTCATCATACAATGTGTGGTACAGCCACCTATTTAAGATACTGTTAAAAAGAACCCTAAGTACAAGACAAATCACAGAGAAAAGAAATAAAGAGAAAACAAAAAGAAAATGAGGACTGGACCAGGCAATCTTTTTATGTAAGGCACAGGAAAAAAAAATTGGCTGAAAGATTCAATATGGGTAGAAAAAGGACAAAAAAAAAAAWATCATCTATTCCAAACCTCTGCTCAAGCAGGGTCACCTAAAGCACATTGCACAGGATAGCATCAAGGCAGGTTCTGAATATMTGAATCTATATTTTGAATATGAAAGGAGACTCCAAAACCTCTCTTGTTTTCCTTTCCACTCTGTCTTCCCAGTAGCTTCCATGAAGGTCACCTCTGCTTCCTGGCAGCTGAGAATTGATGCAGGGCTGAAATGGCATTGCTTTACTCGTCCAGCTCTCCATTTTCTGCATTCTTTACAGAATCTTTCCACGTTGCCCTTCTTTCCTTTTTCCCCAACCCTCTTCCACGGGATCAGGTGGTGCCCATCCCTTGTCCCTTCACCATGTCTCCTTCTCCAACATTCCCCATGCCAAAGTTTTCCATGCAGGTTGGTCATGAGGATGGCCGTGCAGTGTTATGATGGCAAGGATGCACATCTGAGAGGGATTTATGTACCCTTGTGTACCAGCAGACAACTTCCCTTGTGCTGAGGATGTGGTGATGCTGGGAAGCAACAGGAAAACGTGTTACTCTACCAGTCTGATCCCAAGGCTTCATTTCTTTTCACTTCGTGCATAAATAGTTTGGGAAGCATCGACCCTAATTGGCAGCACGACCTTTCCTCCACATCCAAAGACTTCTCATCAACTTTTGGTGACTATACACATGTTAGTTGTGAGCAACATGTTTAGCAGAATGAAAACAAAACAATTGTTTTTTCCACACCCCAAGGAAAATCACTATCTGGAGGCAAAGTGAGACAGGAGAGAACTGGGAATGTTTTACAGCATTGTTTATGTCATAGCTAATGGTGCTGCAGAAGAAGAGGGTGATGTGACCATTTTTTACTGACAAGATCTCCGGACCTAGGACATGTGAGAGGAAGCTGTCAGTGATGTGATGAGATTGTGAGGAAAAGTGATCTGTGGCCCATGGTTTTCACGTTGGGAGCCAGAGAGGAGGCAGAAGCAGAGTCGTGTGGCCCAAGCTGCTGTGACCTGCTTGTTTCTCCTGGGCGTGCTGGTGCTGTGGGTCCTCCTACAACCCACACGCTGGTGCCCACGGGGAGAGTGGCCATTTCCAAGGAGTAACAGGAGGTAAGAGTCTGGGGTGGTGGGTGGTGTTGGTCACCAGGCTCTTTCCTGGGGTGCAAGGCTTGGGTGGGAGGAAGGGAATCTTTGCTCAGTGGGGTTTTCTCCTTAGAACCCACTCCCACTCCAGGACAAGTTGGTAGCTCCCACATTCTCCCTTTCTCCAGGACCTCTCCCCATTGACATCCCCTATTTCCAGTGATTTCACCCCATCCCCACTGCTCTTTTTCTCTCTCTTTCTCCCAGATGTCCGTAGCCCCTAGACCTCCAGCCTGTCTCCACCTCTCCCTGCAACCCAAGGACGAGCTGCTTTAGGCTTCTCCTAATCACTCACAGCCGGAGTAGCTCTTCCTGCCCCAGCCCAGGACCTGGCGTGACGAGAGGTGGGAGGGAAGGCRAGTGCTAGGAGTGTTGATATCCCTGATCTCCTCTCTCCTTCCTGGTCTCTCCTAGGAGGTGGTGGCAGGGTGGAGAGGGACAAGGCGACACTCATAGCAGGGGCTTCAACATGGAGGACGCCAACACAACAGATCTTTCTCTGACCTCTTTGGACGCAGGATACACAAACTCCGTGGAAAATGCTACAGTTTCGTGCTTTGTGGGGCAGCCTGGATTACTGGTCTTTGCAGGGGTCTGCATGGCGATTTGTCTGTGTGGGTTGGGGGGCAATGGGATGGTTGTCTGGTTCTTGGGCTTTAATATGAGGAAGAACCCTTCCACTGTCTACATCCTGAACCTGGCTGTTGCTGACTTCTCTGTGCTTCTTTTGTCTTTTCTGATCATATTGGTAAATTTTTACGCCCAAGGAATTTGTTTTCATAACCAGAATGCCATTTTTGCCTTCTACMTTGGGGTGGATGTGCCGTACTACTTCTTTTACCTTACCAGCCTGGGTCTCCTGACAGCAATATGCACCGAGCGCTGTATTTCTGTCCTCTTCCCAATCTGGTACCGCTGCTCCCGCCCAAGGCATTTGTCAGGCATTGTGTGTTGCGTTCTTTGGGTTTCCTCTGTACTCTTCACTTTCTTAATTATTTCTAGCTGTGAGGATCCTCATGAACTAACCTGCGAGAAAGCATTTGAAGGCATAATGACTGCAGCCTTAATCATTTTCTCCTCGCTCCTGTTGTTTTCCAACCTGATCCTGTTCATCAAACTCCGATACGGCTCACGGAGGCGTCACCCTGGCAGACTCTTYGTTGCCATCTTACTCAACATTCTCTTCTTTTTCGTCTTTGGGCTTCCTTACAGTGTAGAGGTAATACTCCTTGTTTATCACTCGGGTGAATTATTACCTGAAAATCTGTCTTTCTTGCTGGCRTCTCTGAACAGCAGCATCAACCCCGTCATCTACTTCCTGGTCGGGAGCTACCGTCAGCGTCGGTTTGAGGTCTCTGTGAAAGTGGCCTTCCGCCGCGTGTTTGCAGAGAAAACAACGAGTGAGGAGGGCAGCCAGGACCTCAGAGATACCGTTGCAGAGAGCAGCATGTAGGTGCCTGCTGTCAAAGCAGGAGCAGAGGTGCTGAACTCCACAGGCAGCCCACGAGGAGATGGGGAGCGCTGGGCCATGCCTGGAGCCCCTCTTGCTGTCTGGGAGGCCTCCAAACCTGGGGGGCAGCACTGCTCTGCACGAGGAGCCTGGYACCAGCACAAGCACGCCAGCTTGGCAAAGTGCGGCTCTGCTGGACCTCGACCCCAAGCATGGCCTATATTCCCATTTGCAGCATCCACAATGCCTCTGCTCCATGCCTAATAAACTTTGTTGTTCTTCCACCAGCAAACTAGTCTTTGTGGTCTTCTTGGGGCTCAGCAGGCAGGGTCTGGGTCTCTTGCACTCATACGGCACGCTCAGCACCCCGTGGCTGTGATTTCCACGGGAAAACGACCAGATGCATGACAAAGTCCCCAGAGCTGTGTTTTCAACCTGCATCCAAGTCATGTCTTTTTTGGAAGAAACATTCCATCTTCCCTTCCTACAGAAGACCTCACTCAGAGGTCTTTTTCTTTGCCTGCCCTCTTTTCCTTTCCTCGTGCCTTTCCCACTTCTCCTATGGTGCTGCTGTGATGGGGCATGAGGCTGCATCATGTGTAGTGTGTGTGCGGTCTGTTGGGATCCCCACCATTCCCCTGGAGATGCCTAGTTATTCCCGAATGGCTTTGGGCCCTAACATCCAGCTCATGCTGAGGCCTGGTGCCTGCTCGGAACAGCAACCGTTATGCTAAAGCAGGTGCAGCACATATGTCACATACTCAAGGACAAAGCAGAATGAGGTCTACTATCCACGCAGTTTTATAMGTATCTTGATGTTAACACCTTGCAAGACCAAAGCTTTGGAGTTAGCAAATCCTTGCCCGGTGACTGGAATGGCTGGAACAACAAATCGGGATGGCATAGACCAAACTTTCCAACCTGGAAGGTAAAAATACGTCACCCTAACAGCTTTTAAGAGAGACTCACCAGCAGCYGGATGGTTGAGGTTCTCGTGCTTCCCAGGGCTATCCAAGGGACATCCACATGACGTCAAACATTTGCACAACAGAAAAGGATCTGGAGGTGTTTGGTCGACAGCCAGCTGAACACGAGCCAACAGTGCACCCAGGTGGTCAAGAAGGCCAATGGCATCCTTGTATCAGGAACAGTATACCCAGCAGGACAAGGGAGGAGATCATCCCAATGTACTCTGCGCTGGTGAGGCCACACCTCAAACACTGTGGTCAGTTTTGGGCCCCTCATTACAAGAAAGACATTGAGCTGCTGGAGCATGTCCAGAGAAGGTCAATGAAGCTGGTGAAGGGGCAGGAGCACAGACTGTATGAGAAGCGTACAAGTGGGCAGAGAGGGAGGAAGGCAAACCCAACATGACATTTCCCTAGTGGTCTCATGTCTGCTTGTGAGACCTGTGAGAGGCACAAAGCTAATGTCCAGCCCCCATGAAAGAGCAGCAGGAGAATGTCAGAGACTTATCCCATTCCTCTCACAGCCAGACTGAACCTTTGAGAAGGAAATCTTTGTTCATGAAGGCAGCAAGAACAAGGGCATTCAGAAAGGAGGTGGCTCTGTTCCTCATCTCAGATTTTGTTTACGTACCATCACTGTAAAAGAAACTTCAGSCCAATTTGCAGGTGAAAAAAAGAGCCAAGGTCATGTATTAAAAATAATGGATATCTCTTGGACCAGAAAGAGAAAGGAGTGAGCAGTCATCTCAGCATTAATGGCTCTGATGTGATACAGGAAAGTATYGCTGATAATTCAAAGCAAAACATACAGGAATCTGGAGAAGGAGATGAAAAACCACAAAATGTCATGAAGGCAAAGGTGGTTTGTCCAGTTAATGAAACCTCCCTGGGAGGAGGAAGATGCAGGTGAAAATGAGTCCATTCTAAGTGCCGTTTGCCTTTGAGAAGAAGCCAAGCACACAAAGGACAGTCCCCTCTCCTTGTCCATGGGGCCAGATGGGTACTATGACATCTGACCCACCTGCAGAAAGCTCAGCTATAGTAATCTTCATGCCCCGAACCAGGCAGTGCTATTGCCCTCTCAATCATTATGAACGGAGTGCTGCAGGGTGCTGTCCTCTTCTTCCCCCTTCCCCTTCTCCCTCAKTCTCATAGGTGACCAAAAACTGTGCAGGAATTGGCAGTGCTGACAGCTCYAACATTGTGCTTCTCTGGTTATTCCAGCTCCGTCAGGAACAACTTCTTCCATAGTGAGTATGTTAAGAAACCCACTGAGATACTGTCTTTGAAGGATGAGTGTATCACGCTAACACAAAACACATGGTCAGAAAGAAAGAAAGGCAATAGCCAAGGACAAAAGAATGGCCCAGGAAAGAGGGCAGAGCCCACAAGCTGCCAGATGTCTTGTCCGTCTCACAATAGACAATAAGGATGAATTTGGGCCAACTACTTACAAATATGTATATGTCAGCAAAACTGACTTTATAGTGAAGTAGAGAAAGGAGAAGCCCTTTGGGCACAATTCTTCTCRTCCTAGAAGCAACGTCTATAGTAACGCCTATCCTTTTATACTGACTATGAAGGAAGCCCAGGGTGTGCAGCTCTGATGGAAACATCTTCACTGCAGACATACACAGAGGAACTCAGAGGAATTCAGCCCTAGATTCACACTGAGTGAGTTGAGGACACCATTTCAGATGTCCTTGGGCATCCGAAGCATCCTCAAAGGGCAGGAACTTAGGTAGAGGGTTCTCGCTTCTGGCAAGGCAGGTGGAAGCCCAACGGGTACCATCTCAAATAGAGCCTAAAGGGCAGTTCAACTAACACTGCAATCCCAGTATTTGGTGAGGTAAAACACTCTCCATTCTCCAGGGTTGATTTCCCTGAGGAGAATCAGGGGGTCAGAGATCCTGGAGCTATAACCGGCTGCAGTAAAAGATTAACAGTGTCAGCACAGGGTCCATGGTCATTTTTACCATTTTTACCGACTGCGGCCTCAAGATGGCAGCAAAGGGACACAGAGCACGGGGAGTGACGTCATCTTCATGTTCTTCCTTTTAAGGCAGTCACCAGCAGAGCTTCTGACTTCCCAGCAAATGAAGCCGGAAAGGGACACCAAAGTAAGCTCAGGCTGCGGACCTTGAGAGGAAATGGGMGTGTGAGCTCGTAACTTAACTGGGAATTTGTGTTAATCTTTAGTTTCAAGGTTAAATCGTTCTGAGAAAAGTGTGGTTTCAATAGTGCAGGGGGAGTTAGTTATGAGTCATGGGTTCCCAGCTCTCATGGTGGTGCCAAGAAGTTCTCAAAATGTGTTGGTTTCAGTCTGTGCTCCAGGGAAGTGTGGCTTGTTGCAACAGAGCGATGTTGGCCGATYGTCTCATCCATGCGTCTGTTTACAGCGTGTTGTGTTTGTTGTGATGTGATCCTTTAAAAGGCTGCAGCTGGGCAGGAGAAAAGCTGCTCGTCTCATCTTCGTTCCTGCTGGAGCGAGTTGTGAGGAGAAGAGACCCCTGAGCACCAAAACAGACCCCATGAGCATCTGCGGCAGGACAGGAATCCAACAAGAGGTGCCCAAATAGAGACCAAAATGGGAGTAGAAGATCTGCCTTCCTAAGCAGAGGCCACAAAGGAAGAGTTAAGTTTTTGTATACACTTCTGTCTCATCCTGTGGTTCTTCTTATTTATGAAGTTCACCATTTGAACTTTATGTCCTAATGATCTTGTCTGCTGAGCCTCAGACTCTTATGAGGGATGAGCAGGGAAACGCACATCTCCCTTGATGGTTGTGGTCTTAATTCAGGAACGTGGCTTATCTATCAGGCCAGTTCTTCAAACCTTGTTGAAAACGACTGTTCCTCCAGGCCTGGAGATGCTTTCCCACAATGAAAATACAATGAAGACATCATTCATGCCAGGAAAAAAGTTCCTCGTCCTCCTCTTCCCCTTTTTTCTATGGCTATGAATAAATATCTGTGTCTGATAATGCATTTTTGTTAACCCTATGCAAAAGGGGTTTAGGAGATGTAGATTAATACTGGAGTAGAGAGCAAACCGAGAGTAATCAGAGGGAAAAAGGAAAAAAAAACTTGTAGCTCTGTGCCACAGGTGTCTTGCTAATGGGAAACAGAAAAAAAAAATAAGAAATGAGAACCAAAGAGTAATGGGAAAGATTTGTGTGCTGCTAAATGGGTTTAGTTTATAAGGCAGAAGAGCTGCTTCAAAGTTAAGAGTGGCTTTTTAAGGGGTGGGCTTTTTCAGCATCGTTGTTGTGGATAAAGCCTTTAACTCATGACTTTTACTTGGGAAACTCAAAACAGAGCCCACATGTTTCCAGATGTTATCAGTCACATATGGAAACTATACATTATATCCTGCACATTTCCACGTTTTTGCTGGGAGCTTTAGGATTCTGGACAACCGCTCTGAATATCGGAGGCAGTGCAGGGAACTTGGTCCAGCCAAATTCTACAACCACTTGGCCTGGGATCCAGGATTGGAGAAACGAAAGAAGACAAGCCAATGCAGTTTGTATCCTTCACCAGTCAGGAAACCAATTCCCAGTAGCTACTGTCTTTCTTCACTCTTTTTCTCCAACATCTACCATTTCCCCTCCGTATTTTGCCTGTTTTTCCCTATGCGCTCTTGAAAATTGTCTTCTGTCTAATGCTCCTTTTCTAKAAATATCTTTAATTTCTTCACGTGTTAGTCTTTCCTTCTGTCAGTTGTTGTTACAGAGACTGCCACTTGTATTTGAAATGGGTGTCTTTACACGGTTAATCCATTTGGGAGTTCCAGGAACCAACCATTTTGTAAGTAACTATTGCCAAGCTCATGGGGTGTTTGAGATCCAGGAAAGGAATTCAAAATATAAAGCATTTCTAGATGATCTGACRGGAGGGATGCTCCCATCCTCAGCAGGCTTTCAAAGTACGAAGATCTCCAGACCTAAGTTCTTGGTCTGCCTCCTGAAGCATGCGGAGGGACGGATGCATACTCTCATGACTGATTTTCACAGCAGTCATCTCCTACCCAAGGTCTCRTGAACATGGAGGAGAGAGTGGAGAAGATGAGGAAGAAATGGAGAAATATGAATGAACAGGCTAAATCCTGGAGATATCTCTTTGTCAAGCCACCATAAAAAGAGAAATTTTAGTAAGGAGAACATGGAAGAAGTGGGACAAGATTCATTTCCAGTGCTTTGAGCAATCTAAAATTAGGTGTTTTATGTATGCCAGTCACTTGGGTGCTCTTTAAATGCAGTGRAGAGAGATGAGAGACTGGGGTGATTCATCGAATTTCCACACAGATATTTAGTTAGAATGAAGGAGTTGCATTCTGGAATCCTTGCTCTCTTTCCATTGATGCAGAGGTAGATGAGACATCCCACAGAGATTTGGAGAGCTGTTTTTGGACAGCTACAGTAGGTTCCCATCCTACATGAATCTAGGCACCTGCCTCACTCTCCACCTCATGCCAGATACTCTGTACAGCCRAGTGATACTTCCCTAATGAGCATTCTGTCCTGATTTTTACAAAGATGCAGAAAGGAGAGAAAGAATTACTGCTACAAGTAGCACACTCCTTTGTGTCTTTTCYGCTTTGTGGTAACTGCTTTGCCTTCACAGTCGCCCAGGCCACCTACACCAGCTTCACCGCCTCCTTTCTCTGAAAACCAGGCTTTTCTTTGGCTTCTTTGACTGCTTAGCACATGGCCTGGAAACCTGCCTCACCCATTTAGTTATAGTGAGCATCAAGATGGACAAAATTTATAATACCTTGCATATTTTTATTGACAACTTTCAGAGTTATCACATCCTGACAATAGCCTGTGGCTAGGGATGGCAAGGAGAATAGGTGCCCCTATGGGAGCTGATGGAGAAACGTGTCAATGGYAGGGATGAATTTAGAGAAATGTGGATACCTAGACCCGTAATGGAGGTAAGGTAAATCCTGGACCATGATTAGGTCTCTGATCTAAGCTGACTATTCAGACAACCTCTATAGCTGGAAGTGAGAGATTGGTGCCTGTGGTGGGTAGTTCATACTGTCCTAAATGGGACTCCAAAGCAGCAAAGACAAATCAGTCACGGAAGATGTTCATCTTCATCAGTGCTAAATGGTTGATTTTCATGTTAGTCTGTATGGTGACATGCTGCTCTGGGTTGGGCTGAGGGAAAAAGCCAAAGGGCTGATAAGCTTCCGTCACTAGAGGTTGGAAAGGCCACAGTGTCACGTTTCTGGGGTCGCTGGTTAATCATTTCAACCTGACTTCAGTCTGCCCAGCTGACAGATTCTCTGCCTCTGTCACTCCTTACCAGCTGCATTTCCCCAGCTTTCCCTTGTGTTCGTAGTGCAAACTCGTGGGAAGTCACACCAAGACACAAACTCAGCTCAAAAGCAATATTAGTTCACAGACAAATCAGAGCCATAGAATTACAGCATCATAGAAAAGACCTTCGTGATCATCGAGTCCAGCTACAAACCCATCACCACCCTGCCTGCTAAATCCTGTCCTTAAGTGACTCATCTATAAATCATATCCCTAAATGCCACATCTTCAAGTGTTTCTCGAACACTTCCAGGGGCAAGTATCTTCTCCAAGGGTGATGTTGTCAATATTTAAAGTTGTCTCCACCGTGTTGTCTCTAGGAGTTTCACTGCTCTTTGGGGGCCCTGCTACATCTTCAAAAGCTCTCTGGAAAGCATCTCTAGCAGAGGCTGAGAACTTCATCTCTATACCAGGAATTAAATAACAAGGTTGCTGCTGCTGTTCATACAGGCAAGAGAAAGGGAAGTGTCAAAGCCAAAACCAGAAAAATCAAACAGCCTCAGTAAGATCCAGTAACCAAAGTCAGCAGTGGGGAAGGGGAAGAAGGAGACGAGGAGCAGAATGGTAGTATGGACTTTACCTGGAGAATATCACTGTGAACAACAACAGTCTTGGGCAAATAGGATTCGACTAGAAAGAATCAAGAGGAACGCAGATAAGGTGTAGCTCAGAATGAAGGCTATGAGCATGGTAGTGGAAGAATGCGGTGTTACAATGAGCAGGAAGGAGAGGACCCAAACCAGGGCATGCGCMAAGTGTGCCAAATGCTGGGGGCAGTGCCAGTGCCCGTGGGCTGGGAGGAGAACAGAAAAAGGCATCACAATATTGATGGGTGTCAAGACATAGACCCTGACGGTGAAAGCAAAGAGGATCATGACGTTCAATAGAGTTATTACAGCAGAGGAGTCCAGTCTGCCACAAAAGCAATCTGGGCCATGAAATATCACAAGGGCATCAGCCTTGAGGAGGAGGAGAGCCAAGCTGGTGACAGCCAGGTTGAGGATGTAGACAGTGAAGGACCTGCGAAYGTGGGAGCTGAGGAGCCAGAGGACAGTCCCATTCCCTACCAACCCAAAGAGAAAGACAAGCAGCGCAACGGGGACTTCATTCAAATAAAGGAATTCATGGTCAGCCCCGTTAGAGTCATCGTCTTTGTGTGGGATGCCYCTCGTGCCAAGCCCTGTTACGCATCCGTCCCACTGTATTGGCTCCAGCGGTCAGGGCCAGTGCTTCCCCCGGCAGGGAACACACGCCGTGCTCATTTCAAAACCTGCATTGCACCATCTTTCCCCCTCACACAGCTGGAGGAACAAGAAAATACAGCAGGATATTAATGACTGTGCTGTTCACTGCACTAGGCTTCTTGGATTGTTGCAACCATGCCCCCCAAATTCACAGAAAAACTAAATGGAGGAGCAGAAAAAGCAGAAGGGACAGCAGGCTTGGAGAAGACATGACCTGAGGGAGATCAGTATGACACATTTGGTGCAAGAATACACATGGAGATGAAAATACAGCTAGGGAGATGCCTCCTGTCTRGCTTTCAACAGGAAAGATCTGGAGAAGAGGAATAACAACATGGGACTTTCCTTAGAGTTGACAAAATAACTCGGTGAGACATCCTTYCATTCTTTTCAGTATTCTCCTCCCACCTTTTCCCACAACCTTTATAGATCCARGTTTCCTGGAACTTGTTATTCCTCTATCCTATTTGCTTCAGAATTGCTTCTCTTCATGCTGACCAGCCACCATCCCTATGACAGGGTCTTCGCATGATGATTTTTGGAATTACCCCTTGTTAAATGGACACGGTAAACAAGATTGACTCTGTTCATGCAGCATCAAGCAGAGGATCTCTCTCAGGTCCTTTCACAAGTAGCTTTTCTGAGCACAAACCAAGCAGATTGTCAGCAATTCTTGCAAACAGAGAGCTGTTTTGTAGCCTATGAGAGTATCAGGGCTTCATTATAATATCTAATCTTGATCTTGCACAGGAAGTAACTAAGTAAAGAGAGTCTCAGAAGCTAGACCTATGGGAAAAGCAGATAGCCTCCATGTCATGTTCCTCTTTCCATGTTAAATCAATCCCAAACCCCGGATTTTCCTATCTTCCTAATGGATGTTTTTTTCTCTCCTGTATTCCCAGGAATCATGTCTTTAAGACCTGGAACTACAAGCCTGTTRTCCCTGTAAAACTGATATTTCTGATTTTTGACACTTAGGTACTCCCCATCACAGTGATACCTTATCTTCAAGTACRTAGTTCCCCACAATGTGTGGGCATTCATTTGTTCCCTAGGGTTCTTCGCAGGTATAAATAAGAGCACTTTCCAACAGCATCCTGCATGTCCATCCTGTGTCTGCACTGGCACAGTGCTGATCACAGGAAGTTCTTGTCTCTCTTTGCTCCCCAATTCAAAACTCCCTTGGAAAGCAAAAATTTGATTGCTGACTAATGCTATGAGCAACATCAGGCAGACCAGGCTGGATTTCCTCTGTAAGACTGATGCAGCACAGCAGAGGGAGCTGAAAATGTCATTTCTGTCCCWCCCCATCATCTTCTGTGGTCCAGGGACTTTTGACATTTATGGTGATTTATGCTAATGCCTCTGCTATCACCCCAAGGTCCCAGAATACACTAGAGGCAGGAACAGTTGGAACTACTCTTCTCAGAGGAGGAAACATGGCACAGACCTGGCCACGGGATTTAACCCTGGAGAACAGGAGAACAAATGGCAGATAACTTTCCAACCCGCATAATTCCTGCAGTACAAACCGGTGGGTTTCTGCCGCTGTAATTTTGAGAACAAGAAAGGGCACTCCAGGGGTCAGTGAGGGTAGGAATTACAACCAACCTTCAACTACATAGAAGTCAATTTTATTAATTGCCTCTGCAGCAGTCTCCCCCACTGCTTAGGGATCTATCTTTTCTTCAAAGACCCTTTCAAGAGCGACTTTGACGGATCCCCTGAACCTGGACTTTCCATAGCACCCAACTAGTACGTGAATAACTGGATTGACGCTGCTGTTGATGGATGCCAGCAACAAGCAGCTCTCCAAGACAAACTTAACATAGACAAAAGAGGAAGATCTGGGCACTGAGTGGGATGGCGAAGAGAAGGAAGAAGAAGACAGCAAGGAAGACAACTGTGTTGGCGAAGAGAAGAAAGAAGAGAGCAAGGAAGAAAAGTGTGTACATCCTGTCCGAGTGATGTTGCCGTGAGCCATCAAGCTTAAGCTTGATGAGAAGGATCACATTGGAAAGAACCATAAAGGGAGTAAAAAGGCAAGAACTGAGAAAGCAGAARATTGTGAGAACCATCCAGCAGTGCTCGCAGCGAGCCACATCACACACAAAGGACACAAGTACGGACAGCACACAGGCAAGGGTCCAGAGCAGGCAACACATGACTACGGATAAAAGTCCGAGGTGGTGACATTGGTACGAAAAGGGCCAGAGTACACACAGACACCTCTCCAGACTGATAGCTGTGAGGAGGTACAGGCTGGTGCTGTGTGTGAGTAGAACCATGGACTGAAACAGCAGTAGCACACGCAAAAGCTTTGGCTGAAGACGCCTGAACAGGGGGGCATGATATATTATGAGGAAAACAGAAGTACGGATGAGAAAAAGGGAATCTGCAATGGCGAGATTCAAGAAGTAGGGAGTGGAAGGGTTCCTCTTGATGCAGAAACCAAGGAGCCAGAGAATGGATCCGTTCCCAAACAGCCCACACAGGCAGATAAGCAATGTGATGCTATCAATGAAAATTTCAGGGATGTGGTCTGCAAAGCTTCCAGTCCTGTTGTGTCCATCCTCACAGACYAGGTTTATCTCCACTGAAGATGGGGATGTAGACAAATCAAGCCCAGTGTTGCCGGARTGATTGTCCATCTTCTTGTCGTCTTGTGCTCACCTAGAAAAAGGGAGGGAATGGAGGGGAAATTAGTGACAGAGACTCCCTACTGTGCCCCTCTGGTTATTCAGCCTTTCCTCAGCTTCATGAGCTACAACATCTGAAACCCAAAGAAAATATGTATGAGGTGCCAAAGAACATAAATATGAAGAAAGCAGAGAAACCATGACTAGGGACAGTGCAAAAAAAAATAGGGATAGAAGGAAATAGAGGGAAATGCTTGAGTCTAAGAACAACTAAGACAAAGAGCTAAAGGAGATTACAGAATGAAAAACCAAAAGGCGTGTAGGAACTATTTGCCCCTTAAGGGCTGAAACGGGCTGAGGAGATATTTGAAAAGAAGTTAAAGGAAAAGGGAAAAGCTGAATGTTTTTACAATAGGAAAGAACACAAGGCCTGGCTTCCTTCCCACCATGTACATGGGACATCCAAGCAGGGGCAGATTCCTTGCTCAGTCTTGGTAGTCCAGAGCTGCAAACTCCAGATGTGTCCGTCAGTCAGGCATATGAAGTTTTAAAAGGTTGCCTTGCCAAAACCCTCCCAGATGTCTTCTGGTCACCAGGAATAAGGTAACTCTATGGTAAGGTTCCTATAATAGTCCTTGCGCTCAGTCTGATTCCCTGTCCCTTCCACAATCTGGTCCAGTGGAAGGGATTTCCACTGGACCAGAGACCACAATCCTTATGTTTCTTGTAGAGATGGTTGCCTTTTATGTATCTGGACACGTCAGGGCTTGGTCATCACTTCTGAGAGCAACGGAAGCATCTTGACAAAGAATCACCCTCCCAAGACAGATATTGCAGCTCATTGCTTCAAACAATTCCAGTTTCACGTGTTGCTCGCAGACTGGCCAGGGTATTTGGCATGAAATTTTTATCTTCCTCTTTGCTCGTTCYCTTCTGTGCCCAACCACAATGTCCCTTGGTGTCCTCTGTGCCCGACTGCAGTGTCCCTGACATTTTTTTTGATTCCTGTCTGTGTGCATATCTACTCATCACTACAGTATAAATATATATATACACCTCGATACGCCGTCCCATACATCTCTTCCATGCTTTGAGGTTGCAGAGACACAGCATGAATCATCCAAAGGAATTTGTGACTTTTAAAGCTTGGTTTCTGTGGACGTAAGCCTCTTCTTCTCAGTGGTGCCATCCCTTTGCCTACTTTAGATATCTAATTCAGGACCACAGAGATCTGCCCTGTTTCATGCTTTCTACTCTACAATGTATTTCAAGAAATAGGTCAGATGAAATATAGAAGAAATCGCTGTAGAAAATAGGGTCAGGAGAGGAAAATGCAGCCCAGGAAGAAGGAAAGCGAGAGAACCAGTGGCTAGAGCTTGGAGAAGAGAAAGGAAGAACAGCCACATCCATGGCACGGAACAGGGCTTTTTTCTAAGTAATCTGGCAGATTTTCTAAGGGAATCTGGCAGTTATTCTTGATATTTCTGTATCAGCAATGCCAATGGCACTGGGAGAACATCACACCAAAGTGGCCCAAGCTACAATCTTCCATGAGCATTTTGTGTGCTGGTATGTCCGTGTTTCTTCACAGGCTGAAGGATAGGATGGGATGTAGAGGTGTAGTGAATGCTGATGTGATGTTGTCTGCTCCAAATGCAGCTTTGATGTAACTTTAATAAAACTGGTGGTAAAATGTTCATGACTGTAGTTACCATTGTCACAATTTGACRTGTTACTTGGCCTCATCTAGAATCTGTAAAAAAGAACTTTTGCTTAAACAATAATGAAACTAGAACAATGGASACTTTCAATACTAAATCTGTTTTGTTGGGCTCCAGTTTTCATTCCATCAACGACTCCAAAATTTGCAAGTTGTTGCAGCCACAGACTGGTTTGGACAGTTGTTTTAGCTCTTCCATGGGTCACAAGCTTCGAGCACTGCCAGGGAGAGGGCCACGCCGTGCCACAACGTTGTTCTTAGAGGAAGGATGTGAGAGAGCATTAAAAAAAGGGGGAGATTAAGGAAGGAGTAGAGGAACTCATAAGCAGGACAGTGAGAGCATGGCCAAGTACAACAGTTGGGATTCTGCAGGAATTGGTGTGCAAGGAGACTCTTCTGGGCAGCAGTTTCCTAGAATGAGACACTTTGCCATCCATTCATTCTATAACCATTCATTACTCTAGCCCTATCCACATGCATTTCCCTTTATTGCAATTATTTGGCCATGTTCCTAAATTATTTCTAAATAAGGTTTTAAATTTTCACTCGATGAAGGCTGTTGGATCCATCCCGCTGAACCATCTCACGCGAGGTTGCGTGTGTTATGAATGTTAGGTTGCATAATCCCTGAGCATAATTCCTAACGAGTGGATTCTAGACACCCAAAAATAAGTAGAGTGAGYCACAATTATTATGTGAATTAGCACCCCTCTCTGTACTTCCCCAGATGGTAGCCACTTCTGGATCAAAATCTTTGCTTCTTCATTAAACTGCTACCGAATATACGTTTAATTGGGCTTGCATCTTTATCGGTCGCTATTGAATGCCAATCTTTCTGTTTTTTCTCATTGTTTTTAAGAGCATCACAAGGGAAGGTGTTTGCAAAACATATAGAAGACGGGGGAGTACTTGCTTTTCCCGACTGGCAGGAAAGACACRGCAACAAGGACGTCACTTGTGCTGTAGAATCATCCCTCTCATCCAGCGCCCTTGGAAAATCCCTTGGAAAATCACCCAGTGCCRTGACCCTACTGCTGGCCTGGGCAAGGAGGGACTCAGACACGGCAGAACATCTCTCCTGGTGGCACCAGCCGTGCTGGGGTGAAGTTCAACGTTTCCCGGTGGGCTCTTGTTCCCAAAGGCACCTTTTGGCACCCGTTTATATATCTGAGTTTCTTCCATTTATTGGAAAAAAAGCGGTGCAAGAGGGACAGCATTAAGAAAACCACGTCAAAAGAATTTTCCTCACTCCCCAGTCCTGTGATGCTCTAGAAATGATCTCTATGACAGACCCACCAGTTCTTTTTCCAAACATTTGTGCTTCATCTGGTCATTGTCACGGCTATTTATTTATCTTATTTTGTGTTTTACGGAACAACACGGGCTATTGGCTCGCCARCACTTCTTCTATGAGTCACGCTCTTCTTTCCCAAGACCAGTGCGCAGAAAACAACTTAATCAGCTTATCCCTGCAATATGCCCTGGATTTACTTTCTATCCTGTTTGTTTCTGTATAGCATGGAGATAACATTCCTCCTTTCTTCAGGCATGCCTTTTCCTGTTCACCCTGTTATTTTTTTTTCTCTAACCACACAACTGATAACAAGCCCACAGAGGAAAAAGTACCTGGACTCAGTCTTTTTCCAGCTCCATGTGCAATATCCAGAGCCAGCTGGACGGAATTCCAAACCCCAGCAGCATATGTATGAGCTGAATTTAATTAATAAAAATTCCTCTGATTGAAACTCCCATTGAACTACTGGCAAGAATGTCAGCAAAAACAGACATGCTGCAGTCTTCATCTCATTCAGTTTATTTAAAAGCAGAAACATCTTGTCATGACCTACCTAGAAGTCAAAGAGAACTCATAATTTTTTTTGAATTTATAACAAATTTAGAGACAATTTTAATGGAATTGTAACAAAAGCATGTAATTTATAACAAGAGTAAACCTTTCACCCAAGATTTTTTAAGTAGCCTAAGTAAAAGTTAAGCATCTTATTACTGAGGTTCCAAATGTTTAATTGAATAGCCAAGCTGTCAATGCTTATAATCACTACCATTTCCAAATTTATGGCCATATTTGCCCCAAATGTTCTTTCCATGACAAGTCCTTTGGGCTCATAGCTCCAAATTCCCCCTTTGAGCATTCCCAGCAGCTGCTCCGGTAGTGGCTGAAATGTGCAGGATGTCCCAGGAAGGCATTCCACGGCTCCAGAGAAATGCTCTTGGCTCATCTGGGAATTGTCACCCTATTGTGGGGGGCGAGTCTCAGAGGTTAAAGAAAACAAATTGAATGGGAATATTGCTAGCCCAAAAGCACCAATARTGCAGGGTTCACCCTTCAGTCCCTAAAAACATCAATCTGGAAGGAGCTTTTTTCATTCTAAAGTTAATYCTTCAGTTTTGTGCTAGCTAAAAAAGTCCTCCTGGATGGCTAACAGGTTGTGTTGAAAGCAAGGCAGCTGCATTGCAGCTCTGTCGCCCCATAACTCCAAAGCCTTCTGTTAAATCAGATTTCCATGGGCCAGAGGGAAAGCATAATGCTGTAATTTCTTAACTCACCCTTTAATTCTCCAAGTGAGTGTGCGTCTGCACTGATCTACAGACTGGCGCTTCCCAGCTTCTGCAGTTTGAGGGAACTCTGTGTGATTCTGTGATTCCTGGATGGATTTCAGCTGCTGCTGTTGTCTTTCTGTGTTCCAGACCTGCACAATAGCATCCCTACATCTCTAGCTTCCCAGGCATTTTCCTCGCTGAAACCTGTCCRAATACACTCGTGCTGTTATTTGGGGTTTCTCCAGGGCAGGATTCATGCAGGTGCAGCCAGAGCAAGGCAATGTCAACCCTCTGTCCTGAAAAGCCCCTCGCACTGTACAGCAACTCTGTGCTGTAACTAATCCTATGGATTTCTAATGATTTTGCCTAC